CCCCTCCCCTCCCCTCCCCTCCCGGTGCGACCCGGCCGGCCCCGCCCTAAGACACGCCAGGATGCGCGCGCGCGTGCGCGAGACCGGGCTGGTTCCTTTTCGGAACGTCCGCGCCCCGCATGCGCAGTGTGCGCTGGCGGTCTCCGTTTGTTTGAACAGGAAGGCGGACATATTAGTCCCTCTCGGCCCCCCTCGCCCCACCCCCCAGGCTTTCGCCGCCGCGACTCGCCCTTTTCTCAGTCGGACCCGGACCGCAGCCCCTCCCAAAAGCTCCCCATCAGTAGTCGCCCGGTGCCCAACAGTCGTCTTTCTTGCCGCCGGCTCTTCAGCCTGTCTTCTCTAGAGTCTCCTTCGGGCACCGACCTCGCCCTGCCCTCCGGACACCGCGGCAGTCACCTCGGCAGCGACGGGACAAAATGGGAGAGTGAGCCTGGCCCGCGGGGAGCAGCTCTCGGCCGAGGCGGGTCGGCGGGGCAGGCCGGGCCGGGGCGAGCCGGGGATGCGGGGCTAGACCGCCGCCTGCGCCTGGGAGCCGAGCGGGCCGGGCCGCGCCGCGGCCGAGCGGCAGTGCAGCTGGCACAGCTCCGCGCCCGCCTGCGCGCTTGCCTTTCCTCTGCTCGCTCCTGGCCGCCCCAGGGAGTCTCCACCCTGCTGCTCGCGCTCTCCGCTCTCCCGCCCGTCCCGGGACCGGGGCCCCTCGGTGGAGAGGGCGGCCGGGGCCCGATAGGCTGGAGCGACCAGGCTGCCGGCGACGGCGCTGTCGGCTGTCGTGAGGGGCGACCGGGTGGGATGCGACTTTGGGCGCCCGGGCGACTGTGGGTCGCTGTCGCTCCCAGGCCGGGGTCCGGAGCGCGGAGGTCCCCTTTGTGACCGGGAAGAGGAGGGGACCGGGCGCACCTGGTGACCCTGAGGTTCCGGCTCCTCCGCCCCGCGGCTGCAAACCCACCGCTGAGGAAGTTGGTTGAAATTGCTTTCCGCTGCTGGTACGATATTGTCACAGGGGCAGCAACATGTCGACTGGGGACAGTTTTGAGACTCGGTTTGAAAAAATCGACAACCTGCTGCGGGATCCCAAATCGGAAGTGAATTCAGATTGTTTGCTGGTGAGTAGCAAGGTTCCCTTTGGCGCTGTCTGGGGTTCCGCATGTTTTTTGCCTTCCTCTTGTTTTCAATCTAGTTAACTGCAAAGGAGAGAGTCTCAGGTGCTCACGGTCATTGTGGAAGACGCCAGGTTGTTTCCCGAAGCATTCTGGAGTACTTCGAAAATCGCATGGGGTGGCCCTTTTTACCATTTAACTGGCCCTGTACTAACCACTCTCAGAAGTTTTAGTTCTGACTCAGTTCATACTGTACTTAGAAACTGCTATTGGAGGCGTCGTATCAAAAGTCATCGCGTCAGTTACTACCACGTATGTAGTTTGGTGAATGGCAATCTTAGTAGGTAATATTAATCTAGATCAATTTTTTTGTTGTTGTTGTGTGTTTTTTTTTTTTTTTTTTTTGATACAGGGGATCGAACTTGGGACCTTGCGCTTGCGAGGCAGGCGGCGGAACCACTGAGCTAAATCCCCGGCCCTCGATCAATTTGACAGTAGTCTTGGAAAGACTGCTTTCCATTTAGAGATTTAGCTCCTGAGAGTTCAGTTTTTGATTGGGAAGTACTGATGGAGAATTAATACAGAAGTAGTGGTTTTTTGGAGCTAATGTCATAGGTATCTTGAGTCTAATGAACTTTTTGCTGAAGTATTAAGTATAAAAATTCAAGATAACTGATCATAGGTCATCACAGTTTTTTGTAGTATTGTTGGTTGCAAAAGTACCACACAGATGTTATAGCTGCCTTTTTTGGTGATGCTGTGGTTAACATTGTTACTTTTAAAAGATTCTAACGTTCTTATGAAGTGAAAAGCCAAAGTCCTATCATAAAAAATTGTTAATTGGTTAGTAGCATATACAACTATCTGTAAATAATGAGTTTGGCCCCCCTGATACTAATAGTTGCCAACTCTGTAAGTGGGTTTTCCCTTTACCAACAATTACGTAATCTCTAAGATCTCTGTAATCTCTACAAAACCACATAATCTTTAAAAAAGAGTTTCAGGAAGCATGTATATGGATAGGGTTTTGTAGTGGCCTTAGAGAATTAATGTTAGGTATGTAGTTTGGGGGATTAAGATTAAAGGCATAGAACAGTGCCATTCAGAGAGATACCATTTAAAAAACTCATTTTGAATCAGTGAAATTTTGTAGATTATTTACAGTTAACATACATTTGAGTTACTCTGAATACTGGTGTGTGGTTTCAGTATATAAAGTTTCTCCCCAAAGCTTTCAAAATTATTCTAAAGCATCCCTAACTATGAAATAAGAATATTGTAGGTAGTGTGTTTGAAATGTCTCACCCACATTATGGATGCTCTTCATATTGGGAAATAGTAAAGAAGGTTGATGCTTATTTGAAAACATTTTGTCTAGTGAGAGAAATGGAAGGAATTAGAACATATCTTTAGTGTGTTCTACATCTATTTAATCTTTTAATATTATTCTATTTGAATATAACTTAAATGTTTTTGTTTTCTTTTTGAGGTCCTGAGAATTGAATCCAAGGCCTTATACATGATAGGCCAGGCATTGTGCCACTGAACTACACCCTTAATTTCTACTTTGCTTTTTGATTCCATTGTTCCATGATGTGGTGTTACAGGGAGGCTTTAGTAACTTTTTTGGTTTTTAGTTCATTAGTTGTCTTTAACCTTTTGCTATAGATTTTTTGGATGGGACTCTCAAACAGACATTGAGATGTGGAAAATAGAAGGAAATACAAGTCATGATTCTGAGAGTCCAGTCTGCAGTATTTAGGAAAACAAGTTAATCTCACATATGTACACAGAAACAGAGAAAAACATTTAATAAAAAGTTGAGAAAATGTTTGATAACTTCCAAATGATTGTTTAGGGGAAAAAATATATATAAATTGAAGAGAAGAAATCACTGAGTTGAGAGAGAGAGAGAGCGCCAAAGTATGCTTTTAATGATGGATGGATGGATGGATAGGATAGAAGGTTTTCATAGAGAGTAGAGGATAACATAGAAGGTGGAGACATGACTGGCTAGAGGGAAACAGAGTATAGTTAGAAGGAGAGACTGGGTTAGATTGGAGGATTTGAGTGCTAAAGCAAGAAGTTTAGGACTGTGACAGGATGAATGAAAGGTGAGACTGATAGTTTTGCACACAATGGGTTAGGGTGGAGAAAGGGTGAGATTGGAGAACTTTTTTCCCCCAGTACCTGGGATTGAATTGGGACCTTGTGCTTGTGAGGCAGGCATGGCGTCAGTGAGCTAAATCCCTGGCAGAGATTGTAGAATTTTTAAGTAGGAATAGTCCAGAAATGATTGAAGCCCAAAACTGGGACATGAAAATGAGGAAGGAAGAATTGATGGAACTTGACTGGCAGAGTTGAGAAGGAGAAGGGGAAACCAAAGAGACAGGCCATAGTCAGATGACTCTAAAAATGTTAAGCCTGGATTATAGGGAGATGGTGACAACAGCAATGTCAGGTTTGGGAATTGCTTGGTAAGAATAGATCTGTAGATAAGTTCAGTCTTGAATTTATTTAAAGGGATAGTGGGACAACCATGAAGAATTGACCTGTATATATTGGAGATATGGAACTGAGCTCATAATTAAAGATAATGACTTGAAAATTATTTGCACAAAGGTACAAATTGAAACTGATGTAATGATAAAGAGAGATACCCTAAAAGTAAAGCAATCAAGGCTTTCAGAGTTAGGATAGCCAGGTATTATTTATTGGAGCCCAAGACTTCTAAAAGAACATTTTGAAAAAGGCACTACCCCACCAACAGATTTGTTTTTCCCCCTTGTAATCTGATAATTTTGACCCTTTTTTCTGTTTACTTTCATAACTCTTTATTGAAAGCTGTTGTTGAAATTTTATAATATTACTACCTTGAACTTGGTAAAGATCAGATTTTTCTTTGGAGACAAAGACCCTTTCTCCAGTCTTATAGGATATAGGCTGAATTTTCTTTGAATAATACTGAGGGTTTATCTTTGAGCATTCATTCATTTATTTTACCATTCAGCATAAACTGTCAGGTTCCTTCATTTTTTTCAATGAGTCTGTTCTAGCTCTTCCCTGTCTGGACTTTGGTGGATCTCTCTTGTATTAAAGGAACGATACCTTTTTCACATTAGTTGCCTTTCTCTCTTATTTTGACTTTTATTGGTTTATTTAATGATATTTATTATGTATCATGTACCATGTGCAGTGCTCTAGATTTTTTTGTAATGTCAAAAATAAAATTATTAAATTATTCTTCATTTCTTTTACTAGTCCTACTCTTCATCAGTGGAAGTGCCCAAACTTTTGGTTTTAGAAGTTTTCTGTTTTTGGTACCAGGGATTGAACTCGGAACCTTGCGCTTGCGAGGCAGGCAGTGGCACCACTGAGCTAAATCCCCGGTCCTGGCACATATCTTTTTAAACCTAACTTTATCCACACGACAGCTTTTTTGTTGGGGCAGTAATGATGAATATTAGCAGTTACAAGATAGTTTAGTTGGAAGAACCCTGAAAATTTTCTTGAAGAGGATGACCTTTCCTTTGAGTTTTCTTGTACTGTAACTGAAAGGTGGTGTAACAATGGGTGGGTGGAAGAGAAGAAAGAGAAGCAGTATTAGTTACTGAGTTCTAATGCTATGTTGTCCCTTTGTACATACTTTTTTTGTACTGGGGATAGAACTCAGGAGCTTGTGCTTGCAAGGCAGGCGCCCTGCCACTGAGCTAAATCCCCGGCTGTCATACTTTTTAATAGTATTTGTTCATCAGTTTTTCAGAATATGGAAGGCAGATATAAGTGAAAGTTTAGATGTTAGTCTTTGCTTTTCTTTAAATTCCCTTTTTCTGGGCTTCCGTGACCTACTGCTTTCCCATCTTGTCATTATTCTTATCTTTGTTTCTTTATTTCAGTCTTTGGCCTATAGAACTTGTCTTGGAGCATTCATCCATTCTTTTTTTTTTAATCTATTCTTATAGTATCAGCTTCCTATCATCTCTATACCCGTGATGTGCAAATCTTTATTTTTATTCTTTTTATCTTGTTTCAAATTCTAAATATTTATCTTCTGTGTACAGTAGGTCTACTTGGATGTTATCACTCAAATTCCTCATATTCAGAAATAAACTTTTCCCCATAAACTTATTTGTTCTGTCATTAACAGTATCACTATCTGTATAACTAAACAAATTTTTGTTGTGAAGTTTTTTGACAGGTCTGGTCCACATAGTGGGTTATTACAACAGATTTTGGGTAGCATTTAAGAATTAGATTATTGCTGTATAATCCCTCTATGGCTTGTCAGCTGAATTGATCACATTTGGGATTCTGTTATTATTGGGGGAATAAAAAGTCTTGAGGCCATTAAATGTTTGGGCCTTAAAGCTATATGCCTGTCATTGTTCATAATTTGCAAGTTAATGGTTATTACCAGTATCATTTGTTCATCTGGTTGCTCTAGATCAGATTGCCTTTTTTTTTTTTTTTTTTTTTTTTTTTTTGAGATGAAGTCTCTCTGTGATGCTCAGACTGGTCCTGAACTGTTTCAGCTTCTCATCCCCACCCAATTTAAACCAAACTGTATTATGTTAGCATGTTTCAAGAACATTTTAAAAAATGAGAGTCATTTAATTCATTTATCAATAAAGCCATGTGTGAGGTCTGTACTTGGATTCAAGCCTAGGCTTTGTCATTTCCTCATTGGAGGATTTTAGGGGACTTATTTTAACCTCTCAGAACTAGTCTTTAGGAAATTGGTTGAGGAATTGTAAGATTGTTATAAGAAATAATACAGGCAAAGAAAGCAGTTATCACAAATAGCACTCAGTAAGCGTTTGATAATTGGTAACCATCATTGTCATATTTGTAGTATAGTATTATTGGCAAAGGCTGGTCACTGTACTTAAGCAGGAAGTTACTATCTTCTGAGGGTGCAGAATAATTTACCTGACTCCTGAAGCCATGCCCATGAATTAATAATCTAGCTGTGCCATATTGAAGCATCTCCAAGACAATTATACCTG